TTTAAATATCCATATTTTGTTCGAGCAAGTTTGATTCGTTTTTTTTTTTTCTTCTCTCTCAATATTTGTTCCATATATCGATTCCGCTAAACGAACTATCCCTATCGTTCGTGAGATCGAAACGAAGCGTCATATTCCATTATTATTACTTTCCATGCAATATTAAGCATGGAGGATAATACATAATAACACAAAACATATTATTATTTCACATAATCCCGATTAAATCGAAATTGAATCACTCGATTAGTTAATATTTGAATTAATGGTCAATAATATAAACGTAAATAAGTATACATAACTGTATCACATATGAATCTATATCTATATAGAGGAAAATCAATATAAATTTGTTCAGATTTGATCAGATAAATTTGTACATATTTTAAACGCGTGCACATATGTCGTCACTTTATTAAAAATGTACATATATCAAAAGATCATTTTTATTTCCATAAAGTAATTATAATTAATTTATACGAAATATTTCCATCTATCAAAAAAAAAAAAAAAAAAAAAAAAAACTCTAATTCGAGTAAAGGGAATTATCCTAATGATATGTAATTTAAAAAAGAAAAAGTTGAAATTTTCACGAACTAATCTCATTAGTAGATGATAGACTACGATAATTAATACACGGATAAATTTCGAGATTATCAAATTGGAAAATTAATTGACGAATATTTCAATGTTTATAGTAGCGTAATATAAATCGAACGAAAATAACGAGAAAAGTTTCGAAAACTGGGACGCGATTGCTGCGATTTCATCCTTTCTTTTATCAAGCAACCGAATTAGACGTTTCATTATTTCCAATGTTTTATCCAAAATCGATATCCGGCGCACACGAGCGGGTGTAAGTTTAATGAAACACCGTGAAAGAGTGTTTTACGACCGCGGTCGATCGCAACTTGAATCGAGATAGATCGAGGCGGGTCGAATCGAGCTTCGACAACGGATCACACGGAAAAATCGTAACTGTGCCCCTCGCCAAGAGTAAAATCGATTGAATCTCTTCCCGCGTTTGAAAGATATTCGCGCGGAGAAAAGCAAAATTTCTCGTTTCACGAATTTTTCTATTTTATTTCGTTCAATATTATTAATCGACCGGCGGTGACCACCGCTGGAAAAATTTATTACATCATCCAAATCGACGGATTTACGATTTCGTTCAACTTTGACACGACCATGAGTTTGTATTTCGGCGGATATTTTAATTAAAAACTTGAAGAGCGGGTCAAAAGGAAAAGATAGATCACCGATACACTCGATTAACTCGATTGTTAAAAATTCTAAACGAAATCTCTCTCTCTCTCTCTCTCTCTTTTTATCTTCCCAACCAATTCTACCCCTTCCACAAAGGATAATCCTAACGAAATTGCCGACACGTTAAAGACAGATCCAATTTTTCTCAGATTTATCAAACGAAGGGGAAAAAAAGAAGTCCCTTTTCTTTTTTCCTTTTCTTTTTTTTTTTTTTTTTTTAATCCGTATAATAATCTCAACCACTGACCCATATTATTCATTCGTTAAAGTTATTCCTGCTTCCACCCTTTAATATGGCGAAAAGCGGAAGCAGAAGCGAGACCGAAGCGCGAACCGAATTTCGTTTTAATTTATATTCCTTGGATCGCAAAAGCTCGCGAAAGCAACCCGCGATTTCCCGGCCGAGAGTGTTAAATTTAACGGAAACTCGCAGCTGCGATACATTCGCCGCCGGAACAGCTGTTCTTCGCGCTTTTTCCTTCCTTCGTTCGGACCGAACCCGTATCCATAAATCTCCCTCCTCCCTTAAAACTCGTCCACCGCGGTGGTTGATTAAAAATTTCTCGCTAAATCGTCGTCGGAGGTCGAACAAGAGAGAGAGAGAGAGAGAGAGAGAATATCCCCCCGTTTGATGAAGAACTATCGAGCTGGAACGTTCCATCGTCCATGACACGACTCATCGTTCATCGCTCGCCTCATCGAGGATTGCGTTCAATTTTGAGCCGCGATAAGTAACACGGAACCGTGAACAGATTGAATCGTGCTGGAAATGAAATCGAGGCGAGGCCGAGCGCGCGAAACGAGGGGAAACGAGCAGTTGGACTGGAAAAGGGGAAAAATGAAGGGAAAGGGAAGGGCGAACGAGAATGAGACAAAAGCAGAAGCTTCTCCGCCTCTCTCTTTTTCTCTTTCTCTTTAACAACGAAAAGGAATAATATGATAAAAAAAAAAAAAAAGAAGTTTAGAAAGGAAAAAGAAAGGAGAATGAGGGAAAGAGAAAAGATGCTTCTGTCGGCATTTCGGGCCGATCAGAGTGAGAAGTTATCGAGAAAATATATCGGTCATAACGAAGAAATTTCGCGTTAAAGAGATTCGATTCGATTTCTTCATCGATCCTTTTTCCACTCCTGTTTTGATTGATTTGAAAAAGAAAGGGGAAAAAAGGAAGAAGAAATGGAAAGAAAAGAGAGAGAAAGAGAATCGACGATTATAGCAGACAATCTTTTCCCGTGCTTCGACGAATTTAACGATCCGCGCCATTCTCCTCACCTGTATTCATCTACGTGGAATAGCGAAAAAATTGATACGAGTTTCATAGGAAGCGAGGGATCGTCACGTTCGAAACAATATAAACGACGATACGAGTTCTCGTTCGCGTCTTCGTGCCAATTTCGAGGACTTGGCGCCTCCCTGCAAACGTTTCGTGATCGATGCTCGAACAATTAATACCGGATATAAACGCGGTTCGAAACTACGATTGCACTTTTTCCTTTCTTTTTTTTCTCTAAGCTTCTTCTTTTTCTTTTTTTTTTTTTTTTTTTACCATATTATTCCTTTTCGTTGTTAACCGAGAGAGAAAGAGAGAGAGAGAGAGAGAGGTGGAGTAATTACTTTCGCTTTGATAGCTTTACGATCACCACATTTTTCTCCCTAATTAAGAGCGTGATTAATTTTCTCTAGTAGGGTGGGAGGGACTTTACTAATCTTGCATAAAGATCTCAACGAGGGAATGGTTTTTTTTTTTTTTGCAGCTCGTTCGAAACGTGCAATCATCAGTGCCAATTGATAGTTGGATGTTATCTTATCTTTGAACTTGTTAGCTTGGTGGACAAAAGAAATGTTTCGAGCAGAGAGGAAAAATTCTAACGATCATTATGATTCATTTACACGTATAATAAATTCGAATCGTGAACACGTTTTTTTCTTTTCTTTTCTTTTCTTTTTTATTGATATCATTTAATTTTTACCCGGACACGGATACATTATTATTAATTATCTTCGTTGGAAAATTATTCCTATTATCGATTCATTTCATTCGATTTTTCGTATTACTTTTCTCCTATCCTATCGTATTTCGAGATCGTACTCCAATAATCCGACTATATCGCTTCCAGCATGCCGGAATATTGGAATTTATATTCGCTGTTGTTTATATGTATAAAAATATATAATAAATTGTTATATATTCATAAAAATGTTGAAACAATTATTAAAGAAAAAGGAATACGTACACGAAATATTAAGCGATACGATTAAAATTACGTAATAATTACGAGTATCTCATTTTTCCGACAAAAAAGGTTATTCTTTGTGGTAGAGAGAAAAGTAACGAACATTCGTCGTCCATTTAAATCCACTCAATTCCTCCAATTCGAAAACAGGAACGAGTTACGATCTTTGAATTTCACGAAAACGTTCGTATTCCATTATATCTCGAGGAGCTTTCTAAGCTCGTCGCTTTATTAATCTCGAAACAGATGGAAGGCAACAACATACTTACTTTACATTCCCCTTTCTCGTATATTCACATGTGAAGAGCCGAATCACGAATTATGACGAACGATAAGGAGGCAACGACGATTCGGAAGATCGGTCGATAGAGGAACAAACATGGGTAGAGAGGCGTGTCTTTGATTCAAAGCGTTCGGAGAGGGAGCCTCGATGCCTCTGGCGAGGTCTTTTTACCGTTCTTTCCGGATGAAAACGAGGATTATTCGGGCTAGTCGAGCAGTCAAAAGGATAAGGCGCCCGTGAAATATTTCAAAGCCGTATCTCTTTGCGTGTAATACGGTGTCTAGGGAATCGACATGAAAATCCTTTGACTGTTAATTATGGGCTAATGTGTACGTATAGTTGAGGGGGGGAAAAGGGGATCCGTTAAATCTGTCGACGTATGACAGATCTCCCTCTGAGTATTGCTATTAATTAAACGAAGGACATTGAAACATTCGTTAAACTGTTCCTTAACGAAAAAAGTTAATCCGTTATAACGTTATTAAACTTCGTTGATTAATCAACTTCAACCCCTGTATCCTTAATTGATCACCTCGCGAGCAGAATAATCTCGCTTTAACTTTCTCAGATTCGTCGATTGTTTAATTATTTCCTGCGAGACAAATGTTTTCCAATATTTTTTGAGGCTGTGTAATTGGAGAATACTCTTCCTTTTCTTCGTAATCGTACCCGAAAATGCGTTTTTTATTTAGTAAAACGCGTATATATACGAATTTTGTTTTGTATTATTTTTATTTTCGGTCTTTTTATTTGATTAGAATTAGAAAAGGTAGGATAATTGTTATTAATATTTTTTTCATTGTCCACGTATAAACTAAAAAATCACTTTCATTTATATCATATCACTTCCATCTATTCGGAATTTTCATTGTAAATTGCAAATGGAAAGAATTACAAACGAGAGAAATTGCTTTGCAGTTCGTAATAGCAGCAAATAATAAACTGAATGCAATTATCCTCTAAAAGCATCCGTTAAAAATAATTTAGATTTTCAATCATTATCTATCAACCTAGACTCGCAACATCTTAGACAAAACGTTCCACTGCAAGATAGATAGATATATCATTTTCACCTCGACTTTTAGAGAGGAAGAGATCCTTTGGCTCGGTGATTAATAGTTTAACGATATAATAAAGCGGGGGGGAAATAAATAACAGAGGGTAATACGTGATAGAGAAATACGTTGAACTAATTAAACTGTTTTTTGTCAGACACTTACCTCTCGATGGTTCACGGGGCCGACATGTAGGGAAGACAGATTTCGACCGACAGGAACTTTCAGGTTCCTCCATTCGTTCCTGACCTGTTGCTCCCCTTCACGGCTGAAAAAGGAAAAGTCGTCTGGTTAAATATAAACCATTCACCACTTCACGAGCTCAAGTTAAAAATAAAGACCTCGATAATTTTGTAAAAAAATCTTACAGGGAAACAAATATTTGGAAATATTTTTCAGATCGTGCCTCGATCTTCTTCTTCTTCTTGCTTAACTACTTCTCTGGCAATTTATCACTCCAATTCTCTTTTTGTTTTATCCGAAGAATCGTTCATCCCCGCGTATGTCATCCATAACGGACGACGGGATGAATAAATCGAGAATGAAATGAATTTTCGATATTGTCACGCGCCAGCTGATGAACTTCGTCGAATCGAGTGATTAATAGCCGTGGTTCTATTATAACCGGCCGCGATTCCATTAAAAAATTTAGCAAAATTGCGGTGTAAAATTTTCACCTATCCTCCTCCTCCTCCTCCTCCACCTTGACCCAGCCAGCCCACGAAGATCGATAGAGATTGATTCAGTATTAATCAACAAGAGCAGGGGGGGGGGGGGAAGAGAGAAATTGTGCTTTTCCATCACTTTTCTTTTTTTTTTTTTTTTCGACCACTTATTACCTTCTTCCAATAATATTAAGAAAAAAATGCGATAAAAAGAGGAAGAAAAGAAAAGAGAAAAAGAGAAAGGAAATGATAATCTTTCACTCCGGATCTCTCGATAATTAATTCGAATCTTGTTACGATGGAAGGAAGATAAGTAAAAGACAGCTCTGGCTCTTTCTAGATTTGGAACACAATTCCAAGGGAATGATCTCGCTATACTAGTTCTATTTAACCTTCCTCTTCCTTTTTAATCTCGAGATAAAAATGACGGCCGGCCGGGCTAAGAAAGACGAAACTTCGGTAGGAGACATCTTATATTTTTTCCATTCCTGTTCCATCTTCGATGCGTCCACCACCACCGCGAATCGAACCATCTCGAGGAATATATTCTGCATGTATTCCCTTCTCGCGCAACGGAAACAAGTCCAGCATTGATTAAAACCTCTTCTCCCCCTTCTTCCCCCGTTTTTATCCGCGCAAAACCTTCGACAGTCTTATATACGTATATGCCTTTGTGCGTGGGCAGATACCGTAGGCATTACCAAGATTGGGCCACGGAGGAAATATTTCTTCCTTCCTTCCTTTCTCTCTCCCACTAAATCCTTTCAAGCAAAATTAACCGCAGGATCTTACGTATTTCGTGATATTTTGCGAGTCAGGCCCGTATCATTGTTCCAATTCATCAACAGGAAGAAAGTACTCCGAGTACTCCTTACAGCTTTCTCCTCCTTACATCACTAGATCTCTTACATCATTAGATCCCTTCAGATCTCGCGAATAATATAAATATAATATAAATATAAATATAATATAAATAATATAAATATAATATAATATAAATAATATAAATATACAAATATTTTGAATACATACGATGACATTTATCGAAGATGATATTTTTCCGCGTTCGAAACTTGTTTAGAATTTGGTGAACAATCCAGTTGTTACTGGAGAAAGAAAGGAGAGAGAGAGAGAGAGAGAGAGGAAAAGAAAGAAATTTTGTGTTCGTGTGTTCCTTTTCCATCCGCGAGAAAAAATAAGCGGAATTGCTCAGGGCTAGGGGTACTTCTCGGGATTGTTAGCAACTGGGTCGAACCAATTACGTTCGTGACACGTAAACTTATGCTTTTGTAGCACGATTCGAAGTAGTAACGAATTACTTCTTGGCTCGCGGGAAACGGAGAGGGAGGGGGAGAGGAAGGGAAGAGAGGCGTGAATCTGGAAACGAAACTCGATGGAGTTGTCCGAAGTATCCGGGAAATACATCCAACGTTTTCTCTCCCCTTATGAGTTTCCTCAAGTTTGGAAACAAATCTTGCACGGCCGTTCGTTCCGTGTCGAGGAGATCCACGCCTCGTTCCACGCGTCGATACATTGATTTAAGGTTTCGTTTCGCACCATCCGTCAGAGGTGCTCCTCGTACAACCTGTCCCTCGTTTTTCAAAGTTCTCCACGTTCTTCGAAAATTCTTCTCCTCTGGTTTAACAACGTTGCGTACACCTTCCGCGTTTGAGCCAAGATCTCTGCGACACCCGTAAATTAACCCGTCCCAAAGCGCAATTTACTACTCGACCCTTTAAACAAAAGGGTTGCCCGTCGTAGAGGAAGAACTTTAATTAACTGCTAGTTGTTGATAACTGGAGAGCTATCTCCAGCCCCTGTTTAATACTATCGTGCGTTTTATCAATCGGGGTGAAAGAAAAGAAAGAAAAAAGGAAGAGAGAGTTAATAGTTCCTCCGGATGCTCTTTCTTTTCCCCCCCTCTTTGCAATCCGTCCAGAGGAGAAAGTTGGAAAGATTTGTCGTGATCTTTTATCGAGGCCGTGTTTCAATAGAAATGGGAGGAGATGTTGCGTCACTTACGGGAATCTTAGCTCGTTGCAGCTTCCATCCGTGTGCGCGAGAGCGGGAAGGCTGCTGGCCTCGAACGGTGGATTGCTCAAATCTGCGAACAGAAATATAAAGTTTTGTCAGTCGTGGGAACGGAGAAAACTCATAAACGTTTCCTTTCGATCATTTGGAGAGGGAAGTTGACCGAGCTTATAATTAATTGAAAATTTATTTTCACAGAAGAAGAAAAATTGGAGCTGTTCGAGTGTCGCCCGCTTTTTCGCCCCAAACTCGATTCGAGGCGAGGCATAAATAATTGAAAATTACCTATGGTCGAGTCGTAATGGTCGCTGTGCCGACCATAAGGGGCAGTTCGCTTGAGCAGATCGGTCACTCGTCTCCTCGGGCTTCTCGTCTGCTGAAACACGCATCTTCTTTCATATCGGGTCGAAAACGCACGAAAATGAATCGAAAAGTGTCGGGGTATAAATACAAATATGTTTAATTTCGTATCGTCAGAATTTTATGCTACATCGAAAATTGTTTTTTAACAACGAATGTTTCGAAGGTAAGAAAATAGGATTGAGGATTGAGGGGAGAGAATTTGAATTGATCGATGAAAGTTCATTTTGTTCGGTTTCGATAAAAGATGTAGGGAACAAGACAAGAAGGATTCTTGTTTCGTGCTTTACCGCCGGCTCTTCTATTTACATCGATCTTTTTCTAGCGTGGCCAAAGAGGATATTTCTTTCCGATGTTGTATCGTGCCTACGCGGATATTTTCATCCCCTTAATGCGCCTCCCACGTTTGGACGCGATTACACGTGAGGAATCAAAGTTTATAGGCTTCGACCGATTCCTTTTTAATGGAAGGATAGTATTAAAAGAAGTAAGGAAAAGGAACAAAAGGAGGGAAGGACATGAGAGAACGTAAAGAATCTTGGATTAATCTACGATCCAAATATTTACTCTCGAGCTTGGCCGCGAAGCGAGGGCAAAATTATTGATCAAGTTTCTACCGCGAACACAGTGGAGAGAACGTTGTTGGTGTTAAGGTTGGTTCACATTTCAGCTTTCTTCCAGCTTTCTTCGAATTTATATTTATATCGATTACAACACGGTGACGTGTTGAACATTCAAATTTAATTCTTCGTCATGTTTGATTTAAATATTAGATATTGGATACAGATATTTACTTTGACGAAGATTGTGATTGAATTGCAAAAAAAAAAAAAAATTTAAGCAAAAGCGAAACTTCACATCTTTAGAATGTTTAAATTTTTGAAATTATTTCGAATGAAATTATCATTGATAGAGAGAGAGAGAAAAAAAGAGAAATCGTCTTAATAAAAAGTAATTTTATCAAGCTCGAGATAAGCAGTCTTGTATTTCATTGGAAGTTAATTTATATTCCAATAAATCAAGTCTCATTAACACGACTTAGTCTCGCTCCATCGAATCGATGAGAAAGTATTATCTATCATTGTTTCAGTAAATAAAACTTGTTCGAATAAGAATGGATGAAACTTCTATAAGATATTAATTAAATTGAACAGGTTTCGAAAAGTCTATATAATATTGGAAACGTATATCTAAAAATAACATTACGATTTGAAAAAGTACCAGTTATGAAGAGTTTGCCCCGTTTTCTTTTCCACTTTTATGAATTCTCTTCCATATTAAAATTAACACGGGATAATTATATACAGCTTAAAATTGGCCCGCGTATTAATTTGACATAACAAATAAGTTGATACATAAAACAAATTTAAACTGATAACAGCGTGTTTTCCTTTGAAATAGAAATGAAATAACCGACGAAATTAGAAGGGAAAATTTTCGTAATTCCGACAACGAGTGGTAATTAATCTCATTTCATATCCTTGTTTCTTCGAACGAAACACGATCCAGCGAATAAAACTATTAAAAATTAGAGACACGGTTAACGTAATTCCCTTCATCATGTTCCATCAGCGTTTTCCCCATTGGATTTTACATTAAATACAAATGCAAACCAATCTTCCGCGGCTAACCTCCTCCAACGACTCGATTTCCATTTCAAATTCATTTAAAATCCCATTCAAATTCGATGGGGACGCTCATTAGATCTTAATTGCGGGGATGAACGTTACATAACTAGTGCGCCGCCGGTGAGATTGAAGGTTTCTCGTTGGATCGATGAAAGAAAATAAATTTGTCCCGATAAAAATGCTATCTCGTTCTTGCAAATCCTATCCATCGACGCTGGTTAATCCTCTCGAACAACGATCGAACGGGAATTAATTCGACTGTAAACTCGATCAATTTACCGGTATACAGTGTATAAAGTGTGGGACGTCGACTCGATCGATAAGTTTTTCCTTTACTAATGATCCTTACGAAAGTGGTGTCGATGAGGCTTTGCGTCCTGGTGACTTGAACCTTCGAAGAGAACAATCGTTCCTCGATCGTTGGACTGTTTTCTGACGGGCTGTCGTCATACTCGTCCAAACATTCGTCCTCCGCCAAAGACACCAAACTGTTGTACCAATGCGCGCTGCTCGCCCTGTGCGGTTTCGACGGCTCCTGAAGACGGTTCAAGTCCTTGCTGAAACTTAGGCTGCGCCTAATCGGTTGCAGGCTGCGATTTATCACGGCCGGTAATTCAGCCGCGCTCCCTCTCAATAGCAACCCGATTTTCCGACGGAACGATTTTCGCTCGATTCTCCCGCTCTCCTTTTCCGTATCCTCTTCCTCCACGCGTTTCGACAGATTCACCTCTTCGCTATAGAGATCATTGTCGTAGATCAATAGATCCTTGTACCACTTCTCTGAAACACAAGTATTTCCTTTTTTTTTTCTTTATATATATATTATTACAATATTATCATCATGATATTAATAAAAGTACACAAGGAGAAATAAGAGAATAACGAGATAACGAGAGTGTTAAAAGATGTTAAAAGAATAGTAATCGGAAAGTTTTCTATAAAAAATCATTTCTCCATTTCGTTCTCGTTAAAAGGTTCGCAAAGTTAGACGCAATACCTTGCACTTTCGGTTCACTTTTCTTCGCGGGTACCTGCTTCGCCGTCTTCGCGCTCCGACCGGACGTCTTCTCGCCGCCGCTCTTCTTCGACTTCTTCGAACCCCTCTTCTCGTCCTTCCTCAACGTTGTCATCGTGCCAATCTCGATGTGTATCCTCGATCGTCCTTCTCGCCGAAGGGAGTCAAAGAGAACGTCCGTCCGCTCGAAAGATTCCTCCGCGGACGAATATGGCCGCGTTTCGCCGTTCGACGAAAGGATTCATCGGCCGGCCGAAATCGGCCTTGCCTCCATCGAGCCAATAGTCGTGGACAAAGCGATTCCACGCGACTCCGCCGATCGCGAATGGACGAATCGGTCGAGGCAACGCTGCGAATGAACCGGATGAACGGAACGAGCCTGGTGCGCTTTCGAGCGGACAATTAAACGGTTTTCGCCGATTATTTCCAAATTTCTCCGGCCGCCAGCAGACCGTGGCTGACCTGTCACATCGGTGACGCGATCAATAGAACGGTGTTACGGCTGCTAGTCGATCGTCCAATTGTTGTTGTTGTTGTTGTTGCCAGGCCCACGTGAAAGATCGTTCCATCACGGACGCCGTTTTATTGTTCCGGGTGTCGATCGAGTAAATCGTCGGCAAACAATGTACGAACTTTCGTGGCAAATGGCCTGTTCCCGGCCCCCCCTACCCTCTCCCCCTTCCACCAGTTTATTCGTCGCTCTCTTTCTCGGGCTTGCTCGCCCTTGAATCACGTTCGACAAATGGCAAGTAGAAATTTAACGCTGAAATCATCGATCGGTGAAATCGGTGGCTGAATATCGATCGAAATGGTACAAAAGTGTGAAGTTTTGAAAGAGATTCGTTCGCGTTTGAGTGATCGGTGATTTGTTTCTTTTCTTTTTTTTTTCTTAGTTATCGACAATTAACGATCGACGCGAAAAATATCATTGCTGCAGAGTATATCGAATTTTTTATCTTAAAAATTAATGTTAATTGTTTTTCATTACTCTCTATATCTAGAATGAAATTAGGACAAATTTACAGGATGATGATTGAATTTATATTGATTTCAAACGATAATCTCATTGGATGAAATACGCATTATTTGGTTTGAAGTTCCATTAAAGATATATAGAAGTCGATCGCAGATAAGGGGATATCTTTATCGATAGTAGTTATAGTTCGATTAATCCGATTTTATAATCAAGCTATATCAGAGTTTTTAATACGGATTAATGAGTTCCGTTAGTGAATCGTGTCGTATTAATCACGTAATTATTACTGACCCTATTTCTATATCGATAAATCCATAATTAATTAACGAAATACATACTTTCTTTCATTATCTTTCCTTCTCATTTGCACACACACACACACATACACACTTAAACATCAAGCCTTATGCACACAAGAGTTGCACTTATTTTTCTTTTCGTTTCCTTTCCCTATTGTTGAATTTTCCCCATTTATACGGCCACGGTCGTTGCAGTTAAGAAACGTATTTAACTTTTCTAGCTATCAGCGTATTTTTTCTTATCGCGTTTTCTTCCTTATCATCATACACCGACATAAATTAACCGAACTTATCAGGTCGAATCGTTTTTCCGAGGAAAAATTTCGCGAGTTCTTTTTCCGTTCGGATAAAAAAAATTTCCAATTCCAAAAAAAAAAAAAAAAAATCCACGAAACGTTCTATTGTTTAATCCCACGTTAACAAATTCCAAATTCGTGTGAATCGATCCCCTCGAATAATCGATCCAATTTGAATTAAAGAAATTAAAATTATCGACGAGTTTTTCTGGCCTCGAGGGGGAAACAAAATTTTCAACGAGTAGAACAATGGTTCGAGCGAGGATGCACGCGTACGATCGGTTTTCGTCACCGGCAATTAACGCTATCGTAATGGTAATGGCGTATTACAATGTTATCATCGATTTACGAGGGACGTCACGAGTAATAATACGTTTGCGCGTCGATATATCACCGTAAAAATGCAACACTTAAGAACGATTAACACCCCACTAGAGCATGAAAGCGTGTACGACTTAAAGTGCCAATAATTTTTCTCACTCTATCACTGCATCGAAACAACGATCGATGTAAAAAAAAAAAAAAAAAAAAAAAAAAATTGGAAAGAAAAATAAGGAAAAGTTATCTTCCTGCTATGCGAAGACGGAATCATTGATCAAAAAAAGCGATAAGCGACGACGAGTCGGTTAAAAATAGACAGCTAGATATAAATCGAGCAAGGAGGGAGGAGGGGCAATCGACGAAACTCGGTATCAAACGCGGAACGTTCCCGCGGTTTTAAGGCTGGCCTTAAAATTTGCACTAGTTTAATCGATGCACCACGTAACATGCGTTGCCACGTTCGTGAATGCACCGATAAGGTTGCTCAAGGTGGCGCAAAGTTCATTAGATTAGAAACTAGTAAATGGAAACTCGTCGCAATTGATCGTCGATGCGGATGGATCGAGTGGAATTTTTTTTTTTTTTTTAACCAATACCTCAAATATCAAATTATCCCGATAACGAAATATTCAATCTCTCTCTCTCTTTCTCTCTCTCTCTATCTCTCTCTTTCTGTCTCTCTCTTTCAATCATCGAGAAATTTCATCGAGAAAATTTTCCTCGGCGAGGATACAAACAGATATCGAATAATACGACGCGACACCGATAATATTACATACGCCTTTAAAAAAACAATAATCCGCGCACAATGATCGAATTTTAATATAAAACACCGTTGCACGATTGCCAACCGAATCTGGAATATTGTCGATACGACTAAGAAACGAAATTACGAGCGAGTCTGGAAGGAACAACTGGTTTGCACAGATTTCGTGGCACGATAAAACGACCGGTCCGCGATCGTAACCGCGATCTCGAAACCGTAGTAAATCACACGGAATTCGATATTTCACAACCAGTATATATATATATATACTCACGGATCACCATGATGGGGATAATAACTATTCGAGAATAAAATAAACCGAATCAGGCGTGCACGCACATATACAAGCAAATATACGAACACGGGATCCAAGTTCGTTGACCCGGGGATCGAACGCGATCTCGTTAACGGGTTAACGATTAATGAATTCCCACTGTGGATCGTTCGCGCTTCATTTCCTCCGGATACGATTACACCAGCCCCAGTTTTCGCACGATCCGCGGTTTAAAAACTGACTGAACGGCACAACTGAACCGATTAATTCGACTCGCCTCCGATAATAATCCCGCTCACTCGATCGAGTAGTAAACAAAGGAATTAAAAAAATCAGGTAGTCGTTGGAATCCGCACGCTTATCGAGCACGGCACATCATCATCGAGCGTTATCGCCGCGATAACTGCGATTCCTATGCGCGAATTTCTGTCCCGAAAATTATCCGCGATAAAAGCGAACCGATTCGAGATATAGATTCGCACGCGCGAGTCGAAGAGGAGGATATGCAAAAATTTTGGTAATCTTTTTCTTTTCTTTTCTTTTCTTTTCTTTTTTTTTTTTTTTTTTTTTTTTTTTTTTTTTTTTTTTTTTTTTTTTTTTTTTTGAATATTTCAAGACAGTCGCGACGTTTTATCGACCGTGCACGCGCGAAAATCAAACAGACTCGTCGGGTTAAGAAATTAAGAAAACAGGTAAGAGGCGAGGTGACCCCATGTGGTGGGGAGAGATCGTGGCGGGAAAAGGGAGCAATGGAACGTTCGATTCCAATGGAACCAATCGAGAAAGAAACTGTCTATCTGCCAAGGAAAAATGTGCGGTACTCGTGCCAGTGGTACTCAATTTACTTCGATTTCTCGAGTGTGCTTTTGTTGTAACTATAGTTATACTGCTTTTTTTTATGTGTGTTTTAAACACGTTTGAATAAATATTTTTCGAATGATCGCAGGATTTTTGGTAATTGCCAAGAGGAAAAATTTGAAACTAATCGATTCGATTTGGTTTCGTATATCTGATGCTAAGACTATGGTGTTTGATATGAAAGATGATGAATTTGTATCGTACGTGAGATCATTAATACGTTCTCGTATTTTCTTTGAATTATAAGATTATATTGTGAAGTGTGCAACCTCTCGTTAACAATAGAACCTTATCTTGCACTGATATTTGATGAAATTTACAATATAGGAAAACTTAAAAGATTATAAGTTCATAGAGGAATTACTTCATTTTTCTTATAATATTAAAATGGATATTTAATGGTTCATGAATGACTATGAATAATAATAAAAAAAATTTTATATTTACTTATAATCTTTTTTTTTAATTTTTGAAATTAAATTGTAATAAATTATACTTAATATTTTATATATGTTATTGATCATCTATTGTCAGAAACCATTATTAATTATTTCTTTCTTTCAAAACGCTTTCAAAAAAAAAAAATTTCATTTAAAATAAAATTTCTTTCACGTCGTCTGCACGAGACAAATATTCAAGATAAATACAAAATAATAATAAAATTAGAAAAAAATTTCTTCAAATGACTTAATTCTCGACTGAGCCAGGAAGTTTGTATATCTGACACGTTGCAATACGAAACCTAGAACACCGTTAATGTCCGCATTTCAAATACCCACCACGTTAATGTCTGAAATGCGTTATAAAAAGTTCTGGAACTAGTGTGGTTATAAAACGAGCATGTTGCCGTTTTATTGGTGAAGGGAGGGAAATCTGCTGGCATATTCGATATTCGAGAGCCGTGAAATGACTTTTGTCGAGGTAGCATTTTACGATCAGACGAAACGCAGGAATTGATATTTTATAGATATATAACGTGTTGCACAAAAAATGCTAATTGACATTAAATTATTCCTTTGATGATTTATAACGATTTAAACCCTTTCCTACGACGAATACCGTATGAATTAAAAATCTATTTCTCTTAAAATTAAATTTTGTTTCCAGGAAAAAAAAAAAAGAAATGGTCAATAACGAATCTCGTTCACGATTGAAAACCTTATCGAATATATGTTGGCACATTCGTATTGTTATGGCCAATAACAAATTTTTACGAGTATTGAAGGAGTACATTTCTAGATATATGTATATGTGTCATACACGTCATTACAAAATGTAATAAAGTTCACGAGATAGTTCCTGCGAGAGAACTGAACCAGATGCTCCTCGAACTTCAGAACGCATCCCTTGGCACACGTGTGAAAATGTCGATAAGGATTGTCTATTTCTAGGCCGTGTAAGTAAGCAGATCGATACCGTGTCCTCTAAAGCAGATTGTCGAATTCTTGAACCTTCTTCCTCGAAGGATCTCACGAATTTGTCAGTTCGTACTGTGTAATATTTCTTCTTCAAGTCGAACGAGTGAATTATATCTACTACTAAACTAAATAAGTTTCATCGTTTCCTTGACATCCTTAGCCAGTTAAGGACTTGCTCAGGTGTCCACCGAAGAATCGTCGCATGAATCGCCGTTTCTCTAGAGCGTTTGCAAGAATCGATAAAACGTTTAACCTAAATCTATTCCATTCGTTATCCAAGCTGATTTCGCAACACTGATTCCATAATTATTCTATTATCCCATCCCGTAGATAAATTTCTTTGTGATGGTTCTAACGTTCTCTCGAGTTCATAGGTTAAAAATAGGAAAAAGTTACTCGTAATGATGGCTTGACCGATTAAGATCTGTAAGTGATTTAAATCTAACACGTTTAAATTGATCGATGAGAGAAATTTTAAGCGTCGCGGTGAAAATGCATTAAAAGAGGAAAGGGCAAATTGGCGGCATTGTGCACGGTCGCATACTGAATGGTGGCACACGAACGTGAAACCGGCACGATTCAACCGGCGTCTTTATTAAGTCAACAACCTGCTTTAGAAATCCGCTGCATTTCGCAGAACAGAATTAAACCCGAAGCGCGATATTCAATGTGATTGCCACTACGTGGAGAAATATTAATTGGAACGACGCTGTTATTGCGTTGGAAATAATTTGTGATTAACAATAGGTAGGATTTGATTAAACAATAGGTATTCGTTGAGCACTTACGAGAGATGAAAAACAGTAATCATCGGGATCTAATTTCCTTGAAATTGTGGATCATCCGACCAATCGATATACTGTACCATTTATGTTGTTGATCTTGATCACTTTGAAAATCTGGTTAATAAAAATAAAAAATGAATCATAAATGTATTATTTTTTATTTAATTATTAATTTATTAAAATAAATACTTTGTAAGAAAATTGCACTAACTTTTTTTTCATAACATGAAGTTTTACTGGAAGTTCCATTTATTCATTCCATATACATTTCATTCCATTTACTGAAATTCCAAAAAAATATCACAAATATTAAAAATATTTAATTATAAAGATATTTACTTGCAAAATAGAGAAATCACTATAATACCATTTGTAATATTTCCGATACCAGAGAGCTTCGTCGCTCAATTTGCCACGAAAACGCGTGAAACTATGTTTGTATCGAAGAGGCTAGACAGGTACAACACCTGACACAGGGTGGTACATTCATCCCCACTAACACATTAATTCACTTCGCTATCCTCAGCAACACGATTCAAGCCTAAATTAGATTTTTGCCATTTTAATTCATTAATTTTGTTTAATTTTTTGAATTAAATGATACACTTATGAAGAATTTCAAATAAAAATATGGCGAAACTTCTAATACGAATAAATGTAACAAGAAATATTTCTTTGTCCGAAACGATGACTCTGATGAGATAAAAATCTACTTTAGTAATAATTTAAAACTCACCTGTCATACTTTCTTGAACTCTTCAAATATTAATTTAATGATCGTTATTTTTTTCTATTTCTAATCTTCAACTTGAAACGAACGAATATCACTGAAAATTATTATATTCGTAAATATTATACAAATATTTTACATTCCACATATTTCAAAGTCACATTTGAATTGTCAGAAGATAAGAAAATATAATGGCGGAAAGTTTTGGCGCAAAGTGCAAGAAGCGCAACGATTTGAATGACATTGATACATTAAGTATTATTTTAAATAAAGCCATCTATAATTATCATGTATAGTAATTATACGTATAGTAGATTATAAATTTCAAAATTAAATAATTTAAAGAATAAATTAAATATTATTACAAATTATAATTACCTGATTTGAAGAGACGTAAAAGAATAGGAACTGCGATGAACGTTCTTTCGTCTTCCAACTATTCCTGTTTTCATGTAGTTAATTCCAATGGTGGCGCTACGTTCACTTTCGTTAATGGAAACGCTGCTGCATGTAAGTTGTGACACCTCGCGGCCACCGTTAGTGGAGATGTAATATTTTCCGGTAAAGTAGTTTGGTAGTTTCGTAAAAAATTAAGTGAACGAAAAGTACGTAGAAAATGTAAATTTGCATTAACTTAATCTTCGGTTATATTAATCTATGGCTTAAATCGCTGCTTTGAGCGCGATAAATTTTCGCGAATTGTGTCTATAATCGTCGTGTATATTACATATAGTAACATACATATATTGCAATAGGGCGCCTCGAAGTGTATTAAAACATTGATCGGTGCAGTGAAAGTGGTAAAAAATAACGAAATCTAATCATTTTTCCATCATGTAGTCAATGCATTGTACTCGGTAGTCTTTTAAGTTCACATTGCTAACCAATGTCTTGTGTTATACACTCACAAGGTTAAAGTGCGTTGATTCATAGTTGTTGTTTTCCTCTGGAATTAGTAGAAAAAATGAGTGGAGATATGTTTGACGGAAAAGATTATCCAACCCAATGGGCATTAAATCCTTCAGCTTATCAAAATATGAGTAATGATCAAGGTAAATGGTATAAAAAGTATTTCAGCATTGCGATTCATTTCTTACCATGATTGTATAACATTTATTTGTCATACAAAACTTTTGACCACCATTCAGTTGATTGGGCAGCATTAGCTCAACAATGGATCAAAATGAAA